TAGAAGCCCCAACAAAGTCGACTAGATAGGAAACATCGATTTTAATGTGAGTGTTGGGGATTATTTTTATACCTGACCATTATTTAAGACGGAGATGACGAACAAAAACTAAACAAAACATAAAAACCTGCATTCACAGTAACAGTTTTGTGGATGTTGCATGAAAAACAAGCTGAATAACTCTTCAAGCACATAGTCCAGCTTGTTTTAGCCTTGACTTCTGATCATAAGCAAAAAAATGAGATTCTGGATACGAGTCTTGGAAATGAGTTTTCAGTTCACTCTTGGCTTGTGGAGCTCAGAATTATTGAAGAAGCCGATCTTAGAAGTGCTGCTCCTCCACACTGGCAGGTCAGATCACGTGGGTCAGGTGTATCTGATTACCTGCTAGACTCCTCACTATCGAGTTATTCCCGGCACGTACAGCTAGAAGAAAGCCGGGAGTAATCATACATCCAGCCTGGGCTGGATGTGCCTGAGGAACACCACAGCAGGAGCTAAAGAACACGAAGGAAAAACACAAACTGCAGCAAAAAGTTCTGGGAATTGGCTCGAACAAAACAAAATTAAAAATATAAATTTGTCTCTGCTCAAAATAATCTGACATACATAAGCATCCAGTGCAGCTTCTGTTTGTATGTCTCTCCACGCTGGTGACTCTTCCTCTTACAAAGTTTACAAATCTAGTGAGTAGACGTGTGAATTGTGTTCCCCAAACTTTTCATGTCTGTTTTTTGTTCTTCTTTATTACCAACAAAGATCCTTCACATGAAGTGTTTTTGTTTTGTATTTTTGAAGTTTTTTGGACGTTTTGCTTTTATTTCACGGTTCAGCCGTGGGAAACAGGAAAGAGGGGGAGAGAGCCACAGCTCGGACTCACGCCCGGTCGCTGAATTTCAGCCGTGAGGCTCAACCAGTGAGCTAACCACCTCTTCACAAAAGCTGCGAGTTAGTTTGAGGCAGAAGTTAATGTGTGATTTCAACAAGTTTGAGATGATAAAATCGGAAAGTGCAGGTGGTAAGAAACAGACTTCCAGGGATCTAAAAATAGCAGCCACCCTGCAAACCATCTGGAAGTGTTCAAAACATAACCACGATCGAGTCAAATCAGGTAAGGCTTTTGAATATTTATGGACTGATTCCCAAAAGCTGCTATCGGGCTGCTATGCTAAAAGATTTACATAAACATTTCTGGCTCGTTACTCTAAAGAATTTCCCAAATCTGCCATAAATCAAGTGTAACTCATATGTCATAAACATGGCAGGAGATTAAATGCAATATTCGACAGTGAGTTTCTCTGTATCCCATTATTGGACAGATGACAGGAGCATGCTAGTTGTTTGTTTGTTTGTTTCCTGTGAAACTGGTAATATAACCAAAAATAATAATGCATCGGTTGACTTGATGACTTGTGTAGGACTTTACAAAACCAAGAAACTAAACTAAGAAATAAAAAACTTCATGTCATGTCAGCTGCAGGTATATATGTCAAAATATAAAATAACTGCAGTATTTCGATCAGAACTTTACTCACAAATTGCACGAGTGAGTTAATCTTAGCACCGTGTTGATATTAAGCATTGGGTGGGTTCACTGAAGTAATATGGACTTAATCGTATGTAATGCAGCTCCTGCAAACTTCTGAACACCTGTGAACGGATAAAAAGAACAAATATAATAACCTCCTACGACGCCTGCTGTGTTCTTACATTTTCTAACTTTGTACACCACATTCATGTCATGTAAAACTGAAATGTTTGCAGCGGTCTGTAGGGTCAAACACCCTGTGTACACAATAACAACAGTTCAGTGCTGGTGAATGCTGGCCAGCTGAAGCTAACATGCCCTGTTGTAGAGCTCTGCCTACCCCCCCTCTGTCTTGGTAAGAGTTGAATCAGGTAATGATGACAGTGATATGGTGTCTGTCACTGTGATCGCTGATGTGCTGCTGGCTGTAGTGTTTTGATTTTACTGCCACACACATGCACACACACAGATCACAGTTGGCAATCAAATTTTACAGGTTTCGGCCTCGTATTTCTGTCACTCAGCTGTGAGTAAAATTAAAAGTTTATCTGATGTTATCTCAGTCAGTCTGGATTTTAAATCGTTTAGCGTGATAAACAAAGTTGGCAGGAAACACTTCCCACATTAGCAGGAAGCGCCACCTGTGTGAAGTGTGTGTGTGTGTGTTGGAAGGTCAGTTGGGAAATCAAGGCCTGACTTTTCCTGTGCACTTATTGAAAATTTACTACCTCCATTACAAGACTGTCACATATGCTGTAAAAGCCTGGCGGGACAGATGCAGCTTCCTTCAATATTTTAGGGTAAATTCGCTCTGAAAAGTCCGTTCCTGCAGATTAAACACAAGTGCAAAAAATACGTCACAACATTGACATTAAAACGTCAGCTCAGCATGTTGTTGATCTTTGTAGAGCTAGAATCACTGGTCTGAAGTAACTTTGAGTTATTGTCAGTGATGAATAGCGGTTCCAGCCCTAAAAGTATTTTTACTCTCATTTGACCTTTTTGTACCTTTAATCAAATCCTCCAAAATAAAATACGTGATTAGCAGCAGTAAGAGAATTGACCTAACTGAGCTCGCAGCCCCTGAATCCTCCGCCTACTCTTCCTCCTCCTTTTGCTTGCCCTGTCTCCTCTCTTCTTCCTTCTCCACATTAGTTTTCTCCTTGGGAAGCTGTCTTAATGCCAGCCATCTGCATTTCTGAGCCTGCAGCTTACCATGTCAGCAAACAATGCTGTTCTTGTATGAGCAGCACCCAGAATGCTGCATTATCTCTTGCACCACAGTAACATTTAGCCCACGCATGCTCTCCAGCACTCTGGATGCTGTCAGTCATTGATCAGCAACACTATGTGCAAACGAAGAAAACTCCGAGTTTCTAACTTCACCGCTTCTCCTGTTACATCAGATTTTTTTACAGTGAGGGCTAGAATGTGTAACCCTGCGCTTCCTCTTCTTTAGTTAAACCACAATGAAACCCCAGAAAAGCCTCTGATCCACACTGTAAGCTTCTCACACCAACACGCTGGCTCAGGGCTTAAATTACACTTTGTGAGTCAGATTTTCGTGACTGTGTACTCGCCTAAGTCAAGAGCAAGGACTTCATTTATGCAACAGAGCTGTCTGCATTTGACTTGATGTGCACACAGGACTGTTGCACTAATTCAGACATTGTGTAATGAGGAAGTAGATCCAAACACTTTGGGGAGATTTCCAGGGATGAGAGCTAACATTGGAGGAGAATCTTTATCCCACGTTCGCTCCAGCACACTTTGTGCCTTAGCATCACGACACGATGGAAACTCTACCGCCTTGCCGCGCATTAGACTCCAGGTGCAATTTAATCCCTGCAGCCCAGCAGGAAACCCCAGATTTTCCAGAGAAATCCAGTTACATGCTTTAGACACAGCTTCTCATTTTACCCAGTTTCTCGGTGAGCGTGGCGCCCTACGGCGGTGATTCCCAGTATTTCTTCATCTGGCCCGTAGCACACTGGATACAAGGACGTCCTTTCTTTAACAACACCTCTCAGTTTAAATGTGTATATTTGTTTTAAACTGGATCAACCATCCAAAACTATTAGCGTATGTATTAAACCAGTTCGTCTACTGGTTTTAGCAACTGCACCACTTAACCACAGTCACAGTCACAACCATTATATTTTGGAGAAATGTGGTTACTGTTAGCAGGGTTGAAACTCTCTCATGTCTGACACGTCAGCCCTGTGTTAACCTTCCTTCTCCCACTCACACAGCAAATAAAGGAAACTGAATTTCTTAAAGCCCACTTAAAGCTGTGTTTGCAGCTTCCACTGCTTGAGATTATGCAGAACCTGCTACTCAGTATAATCAATAGATGGCTCTCCAAAGCACACATTTCTGCACATGACACAGCAGTGTAATGATTCAGTCAGATATTTCTGGCAAATGAAAACCTCTCCAAGTGTGAGCTATCACACGCAGTCCCAGTTTTAGGTTCACAGTCCACAGACCTCCATCAGTGTGGCGTTAGTGTTGGTATCGATGATACTGATCTGATACTGGTACAAAACCTTAATGTTTTATTGTATCTCAAATTATAGCATCATAATGATTACAGGACATCAGATTACTTGTTCTTATCACTTAATAACGCAGAATTATCATATAGAAATAAAAAACCTGAAGTTGTGCTATTTGAACACCCTGCCTGCAGCACTAAAGGACTCCCTGAGACGTCTGTCTCGCCCTAGCACCACCCGTCCTTCTCCTCCTCCTCCCAATGATAGTTTCTTTCCACTGTGTTCCTGTTAATGATAAACTACAGATTTACCCCAAATGACTAAAATATCGATATTTTAATGTGAGAATCGATTCTAGAACATAAAAGACTGAATCGATATTTTAACATCGATCGTTGGTATTTACCATGGATGGCTCACTGCTAATCGCTGGTGTTTAAATGAAATGCTCTTCATTGGCACAGAAGGTTAAATAAAAAAAGTTTTGCCAAAATAATTCATTTAACATGTGACATATTAGTAACCATGGCAACAAGACCTTACAATATACATTAATTGATGATTTACATTGTTTTATTTAAAACGTTAGCTAGCTATTTCATTTATGTGCCCATTATGTTCAGCAATTTATTAATTTAATAATTTAATCTCAGCCATAGTTTTCATAATTTCCAGTTTTTTATTCAGTAATTTTAATAATGTATTAATTATTTTAATACAACATGTTGATCATCTCATGCGAAGCTGGTTGGAGGGAAATTCCTGACCAGAAATTGGCTTTAAGATGACTCAACATTTTAAAAGCATAAAACAGACACAAACTGTAAAACTCCACCAGGCTCATTGACCAGTTCACACTGGTCTACGGTGCACAGTAAAAGCCAACCCAGTCAAACACTGAATCAGTCCAGTGGTCCCTACACCCCACCCCTCTCCTTTGTCCCCTCTCACTCTGCTCCTCTGTACTCCCACAGTTCGCCGTGTGCCGCCCCGTTTCTCCATCCCCCCCACCAATCATGAGGTGATGCCCGGAGGCAGCGTCAACCTGACCTGCGTCGCAGTCGGCGCTCCCATGCCTTACGTCAAGTGGATAAGTGGTGAAGTGGAGCTGACCCGGGAGGATGAGATGCCCATTGGCCGCAATGTTCTGGAGCTCACCAACATCCGCCAATCTGCCAATTACACCTGTGTGGCCATATCCTCCCTGGGCATGATCGAGACTACAGCTCAGATCACAGTCAAGGGTAAGAAACACTCACCTTTGTGGGGGTGGGATGGCGTGTGATATGATCCCGGTGAACAGTGGAGAAAAATTAATTGGTCCGATTGTGCAGTTCTGCCTGGCGTAATTTGCGCTGGCTTCATGAAGCTCCTGGTCATCATCCAACAGCCTCTTAGATGTTTTTGCAGCGCATACTTTAGGCCCTATTTAACTTGCTGATGTGATCACACGTGAAGGAGGTGCGCAAATGTCATCAGTCATCATTAAACCTGGAATACGTGCACCAGATTTCAGATCTTGTCGCATATGGTGCCTTTAAAGGACCAAAAAAGTCAGTTTTTCTGCTGCAGGGCTGGAGTGGAGCATGTTTTAAACCAAACACTGACCTTTTTCTTAGTATAACAAAGTTTACCTTCCTAAACCTAACCAGCAAGATAAAGGAGAAATAGGGGAGAAGAAAATACGATGCATGTTCACCTGGCTAACAACCAACTCCAAATGTAGACGCTGTCACTATTTAAGAGAGAATTGTTGTCTTCGTAGCACATCGCTGTGCCTTGGTAATGCAAATGCAGATCAATGAATTTGGCTTCGGACAATACTGAGCCTTTGATAAGGATGGCTTTGCCCAGCCCCACTGAGGCAGCAGCAGTGGGGTCAAATAAAGTATGCATAAAGCTCCTTACATGCACTCTCTGACACAACAAATAATGTCAATATTTGAACATGTTTGGACAGCTTGGAAAGACGCTGCAGTGCAAAACCTGCATGTCATTTAGTGTTCATTAACAAAGCAAATCCCCAATCCTGTGTGTAATAGCCTCAGCAAAAAGCAGAATATATTAACATAACATAAAGTCAAGTGCCATTTTTCATTTACAGTGTCCATATAGTCGAGGTGGTACTCTAATAAAAAATGAAGATACATTTATTCTTGTTCGAGCAACAAAATCCTTCTTACGTCAGGATTTGTGTTGCTTTAGATTCTGGATGTATTGTGTTATTGATGATGTCTGACTGACAGGAGCAGCGGTGTGAGTGGACTAACACATAGAAAGCTTTCATACAGGACGATCAGCTGAAGAAAAAGCAACAGCAGCAGAAATGTGCTCCTAGTATCTTTGTTATATTGAGAAAACAGGAGCTCGTAGCTCTGCAGCTGTAATCTTTAGTTATCGCAGGTCAAATCAGGTCATTTTAGTTTTTGGTAGAACCAGTTTTAGTTTAGATATAGGACATTTTCTACAGTTTATAATAAACTTTATGATAGTAGATGTTGACATATTTTGTTACAGCAGGCTCATTGTTTTCTACACTGCTCAAGTAGGAATCTCACATTAAATGTCTTGCAAATCTTGTAATCCAATCAGAAGGGACACTTAGATATGTAGAAAGTCTATGTTAGTATGAAAGTCACTGCTTTATCATGTGGTTTGCTTTTGGACCTTTGTGTTTTGTATTTGCTTTTCCTTTTCTTCCACTAACTGATTCATTGTGGGTCTTTATCCCTCAGCAGTAAAACACTGTTTTTATCGTCACCACCCGGGTGGGCAGCTGGGAGCAGGCAGTGTGGACACCCAAGTGTGTGAACTTTCAACTTGATACTATAGGTGTGAAATATTGGACGAGTTTGAATCTGTGACCTTGATGTTGACTTCAAGTTTTATGAAAATCTTGTGAAGTCACCTGGGTGAAACTGATATGATAGGTGCATCTACTAAAAATCTCAGGTGAGTTCAAATTCCTGTAACCTTGATCTCAAGGTCAGAAGTCGGAGGTCAACTTTTCTGAAAATCTAGTTAATGCAAGAACTAAAACCTCTGATGAATCTTTGAATCTTGGTGACTTCAACCTCAAGGTCAGAACTTGGCTTTTCTAAAAATCATCTGAATGCGATCACTCAAGAACGAAGCAGCAATAATACAGTAATACCAGAGGAGGCTGAGGGGAGGTGTATCTACGAGGAGGCTGAGGGGTTTGTGTCCATCAGTATTTCTTTACTTTCATTTTGGCTACTTTTAGGCTAAATGAAAGTACTGTGTTGGGCACGCAGTGCAGTTCTCTGCTGCTGTATCTGATTCAAGGTCTGTGTTTTGCATACAAGTGGTTATTTGAGTTGCTGTTGTCCTTCTGTCAGCTTGAAGCAGTCTGTCCACTCTCCTCTGATCTCTGCTGCTCACTGGATACCTTCCACCACCTCTTGGTCTCGAGGTGTTTGTGGAAAATCCTTGAAGAGCAGCAATTTCTGAAAAATGCAAACCAGCCCATCTGACACAAGCAACGTTCAAAGTCATTTAAATCACTTTTCTCCCCCTTCCTGATGCTCTGTTTGAACTTCAGTCAGTCAGCTTTACCACGTGTACACGCCCGAATCAGCTCTAAATGTATTTGGAAGCTTCTGGTTGAGCATTTTGGCCATTTCAGATATAACTGGTAAACACACACACACACACACACACGCACACACACTTTTTCTATAAAAGTATTCAGTGATATCTTAGACTAACACAGTGGTTCCCAAACTTTTTTTGCTGGGCCCCCTTCGTTTTACAAGAAAAATGTTCGCAAAAAATCACGAATGTGGGATCCTGTTTGTCCGTGATCTAAACAGCCCAGCGCTGCTCCCGACGCAGGGGAAACCAGTCCTGCAGGGAGACCTACCTCGGCACTTGTGCAGGTGAAACCAAAGGGCAGATTTGCTTCACCATATTTTCTAGTCTTTGGCTCAGAATGAAGTTGGTTTGGAAACATATTCAGCGATGCTTCATCTCCTGCTCTGCGTTTGTGTGGGCGCCCCGTGCCAGCAGTGTCCAAGCATTTTGTTTGTTCCCCCCCCCCCCCCCCCTGCAATGGGGCCCCACACTTTGGGAAGGTCTGGACTAACAGCTGGGACATAAACTCATCTGCAGTGTTTGCTGAGATTATAAATGAGGTGAACAATGGGATCATTTTCTGATAGACACGTACAGTTTGGCTTGTTTTGGCAGAGGAGATGCACCCTGCTAATAAGATCAAACAGGTTTCAGTCCCTGCTGCATTAGCTGCACTTTTCAGATCCCGGTCCTATTTTATATACAGTTTGATGAACAAAAATATGAAGCAGCAGCTGGTTGTGTGTGGGAGAAGTTTGATTTCAGGCTATGTGCCAAAGAGCTCTTTAATATGCGCAACAGTTAGATAATAATGATTTTAGCATTTAAACTAAATCATTATTCTTTCCTAATCCTGCCTTTTTAAAAATGGGTTTTCTTTCCACTTCTAGCCAAATAGAAACTAATAAACAGAAAAAAATATTAAGCCAATGTTTCCACATCTTATATAAACCCCAGTGCCCTGGCTGAAAGTCCAGTGTAGGTACTGTGCCGTGAATCTGTCTTTACATAAATGGTCACACTCGTACCTCTGCTGCTCTGATAGGACTTTTCTTTAAAAATAATAAATTGGCTTTTGTTTGGATCACTTGTGTCAGTAAAATTTGCCACTTCCTCCGTAGCTGTGTTCCTGTAACAGTGGCTCCAGGGGCCTCAAGGCTCTCCTAGTCTGGTTTTCCTGTTGAAACCAGGTGAAAGCTGTGAATTTGCAGTGTTGGTGAAAATATACAAACAGTAGCATGAGAAAAGTGCACAGGAGGGATTGTTGTACACATCACAGTAGAAACTACTTTCTGCATTAAAACAATATTTGTTTTAAAAAGAAAAAATGAGAGCAGCAGCCCCACATGACACACTGAAGCCATACAGTAGAAACAGACGTTAGGAAAATGTCTCCAGATAGCAGTCAGAAATCATTTTCAAGCACTCGAGGTGACAGACAGATCTCATCAGCAGATCTCATTTTTAAAAAGCTGTGCTTTTACTTTTATTTGCTTTTCATAAACTGAAGCTCTTAGAGCTTGTTTTTCAGAGGAAACTGTATCAGATATTGTGGCAACAGATGATGGGAACTGCATGAGGAGCAACGGCTTGATCCTGTCCCAGCCTGCTGGGGTTCATGCGCTTGTAAAGAAGAAGAAGAGCTTGGCTGCATTGCATGAAAATGAGGCAGATGTCAGGACTGGAGCAGCAGAGCTAAAAGCCTGTGGTTGCACTGGTTTCATCCCAAAAGGCAACCCGTGAGCTTTTCTGCACCCCGCTGCTCTGCTTTGGACCAGCTCACAGATTCACAGGGTTGAGCTCAAAGTCCCAACTGCCACCATGTGTTTCTAATCCAGGCTGTTTTTATTTCTCTTTGTCAAACTTCATATTCAGTATAACACTTCATTTGATACAGAATGAGCTGACTGAGTGACAACAACAAAGCAAGAGAATAATTATAGTTAATAAAGTCTTTGATACGATAGCTTCATTATTTCTTGCCTCTGATCTTTTACCATTTTCTATTTGTTAGATGGTTGAGTAGATTTATTGAATTGAGTTGGCCGTCACTACTTTGGAAGATGCTTTGTTTCGTGCAAATCTGTAACAAAATGAAGATAATAACTTAAGAAGTATTTTAGGACTAGAAAATATTGTAATTCAAGTGGTCTTAGAAGCACAAACTCTGGCCTGTGTCTGCAGGTCATGTCAGTCATATAGTATATTTTATAAAGTGTGGAAAGTACAATGTTTTAGGAAAAGAGCAAGATTACCACAAGGTTCAAATCCTGAGTGAAGCCACACTTTAGCATTGACTCCTCTGCAGGGAGGTGATTAAAACAAAAAAAAGCCGCAGGAGAAGAAGCAGAACTGAGGAGCAGCTAAAGTTTCAGGCCAAATACAATTTACTGTGTCTGTGGATGAACCGCCTGCCTGCATTTTGCTGTTACGATCTCCACAGACAGCTGAACTCTGCAATCAGCAGACCCACTGCAGTCGGCACATCTCACCTGACACAAGCGCTATGTATGAATGCAGCTAATAAACATGCCCGTCCACATGTTGTAACAGTCATTATGGTTTTACGCACACATATAAGTTTAATCTACAAAGCAGTGATGGGATTTCTTTCCTCCCTTCTATGAGAAAATGCAACTTATCTTATATCCTGTTAAAATCCAGGCTCTGCTGTGTGGCTGCATTAAGTAGATGCACTTCTGATGATCTGCAGCTCAGGTCTGGATGACTATAGATGGATTTACATAGGAGGACATGCACCCATCTGCTTGGCAACATAATACTGGCCCGGTGCAGATCAGGAAAGGACAGAAGCAAGCTGAATAATAATGAAGTGTTAGATTGGCAATGTTGAACAGCTCTGTGTACCCGGCATCAGCGGGTGACTTTCCTGACGGAGAGGAAGAATAATGTAGAAATGGAGAGAAACGTGTTTTTCTGACTCGGTCTGTCTCTGCTTTCTGACAGCTCTTCCCAAGATGCCCACTTCCCTCACTGTGACAGAAACCACGGCTACCAGCGTCACCCTGACTTGGGACTCCGGCAACCCAGAACCTGTGTCCTACTATGTTATTCAGTATCGTGCCAAATTGTCTGAGAACGGTTTCCAGGAAGTAGATGGTGTCGCCACAACCCGCTACAGCATTGGTGGCCTCAGCCCCTTCTCTGAATACGAGTTTCGTGTCATGGCTGTGAACAACGTTGGCCGGGGTCCTCCCAGCAGCATCGTGGACACCCGTACAAGTGAGCAAGCACCCTCATCACCACCTCTTCATGTCCAGGCACGCATGCTGAGCTCCAGCACCATGCTGGTCCAGTGGGAGCCTCCCGAAGAGCCCAATGGCCAAATCCGGGGCTATCGGGTCTACTACAGCTCAGATCACGATGCCCCGCTCAGCGCCTGGCAGAAGCACAACACAGATGACAGCCATTTCACCACCATCTCAGGCCTGGCAACAGATATCACCTACAGCCTGAGGGTGCTGGGCTTCACCTCAGTGGGAGATGGGCCTCCGTCTGACACTCTACAGATCAAAACCAGGCAGGGAGGTGAGAACATGCTCACTACATCACTGCAGAGCAATGTATCATAAGCAGCGTGCGCCTGGCTCAGATTATTGGTGAGGTGAAAGTTATTCAGATCATTTACTGTGTGCACGTGTTAGCAAACGCTGCCTGCTGTTGCATAAGCAAGTTACAACTCGAGCATTTACGTCCTCTTAAAAACTTCTTCACATTAATATTCAGCTCTTGTCTTAAACAACATTTGTGTTCCATAATGTGCTGTTTGGTAAAATTCTATTTCAGGTCTCGTTACAGTTTTGATGGCTGTGCCAGTTCATGAAGCATCTCGTGATTGAGATGCATATAGAAAAAAGAATCACACCCATTTTCACTCATCAGGCTTTTTTTATTTTGAAAATCAGGTTGGGATATTCTCCAAAGTTCTCCTTCCTCACATGTAGCACACAGCAGGAAATGCTCCGCTTCAGCTCCATTGGTGGTGCTTGGAATATTTCACCCTGGACAGAGGGAGCCAGAGGCAGTGCACTCGCCACCCACTCGCTCATTAGCAGTGAATGGACTGAGCTACCGTATTGGCTGCGCCGCTCCCACGTCGGCACAGTCCGGCATCTCAGTGACGTTGTAGTAGAGAGCTAGAAGATTAAAGACCAGCTGAGTTAGGCTGCACGTGTCTGTGCAGAGACTCGTGCTTTATATTGCTAACTGTCAGTTTTTAATGTTTGGTGTGAGGCAAAGTTGTGTTCTGAAAACAGTTGGACTGAAACGCTGCTGTCACTTTGGACTCCAGCATCACAGGGTGATACTAGTTATGAATGAATGAAAGATACAGTAGTGCACTCTTTTTTTTTTTAAAGGTTTTGTTATTGAGGTAATCTTGGTTCTATTGAAAAATCTCTTGTGATTTTTAGGATTAAAGAAATAACGAAATCACATTTGCATTATATTTATTTTTATAAGAAGAAGAGATGTCAGCGTCAGGTTGCTGTCAGGCATCCCAGACGTTTGTACAAGCCCGCACTAAGAGCAGGGTAAAGCCAGCCTGAGCTTGTGGTAAATGTGGGCATAAACCTCACTGTTACCAGCACAACTGCGCAGAATTCATTTCTGGCTCGCATCATTTTCTTTGCTAAGGCTACACCTGCCTTATGTTCAAGGACAGGCTGGTGCTTTAGTCACAGACAGCATCTTTTACAGTGAGCTACGCCTGACAGGACGAAACATGGCGCCATACCCGGGCTGCAAATGAAATGAGTTCAGGACTCTCACAGGCTGACACAAGATATTTCAACTTAAATACTTTTTTCATTGTCTAGAATTTTAACTTCTTTGAGTTGAACTCTATTGTTACAGGGCTTGGAACATATTAAACCTCTTTGCATACATATAGCTCTTGCTTCCAAGAATTTACTGGTTCATGGCAGGTGTTGGTTTTCTATACTTTGTTGGCATAATTTCACCCGGAAATGTAGCGATGACTCTTTGTACATGTATGAAAGCAGTGCAGGAAGAGCCTGAGTTGTTGGCACATCTATTCATGATGTGAATAGATGTGCCAACAGGATTTTACCTACCTGCCTGTTCGAAACAACAAATGTGGATTTTCCTGGCAGGGGCAGGTCCTCGCCCAGCTTTGCTTTACTCCTCTACTTTCTTACACTTTGTGTTTCCATCTTAACACATCTCTTTGTTTCCTCCTGCAGTTCCAGCTCAGCCGTCTGACTTTGATGGTGAGGCTGAGCTAGACTCACGCATCATGCTGTCATGGCTTTGGCCTGTCCAGGAACCCATCATTAGCTTTGAACTGGTGTACTGGGAAGCCAACAATCCCACAGACAAGGTAAATACCCCCTTAGAAATCTTTTCTTTCCACTGAGATGTTGCTTGTAAAATCTTTATTGGCTAGGAGCTATGCTGTGCTTCAGGCTGTGTATTTGCATTAATGTCTTTTTAGTAAGTTCAAAGTGTCTGCACTTTATTCAGGTTTGATAAATGTCATCACATCACGAACACTTCTTGCTGTGATTTATCCACGAGGAGATCTGGGTGATTTTATGCCACAGTCTCCATTAGAGCTGCGTGATTCACAAGGTCCCGAATCGATTTGATCCCCAATTCGATTCGATTTGATTTGAATCTGGGAAATTTTGCATCAGACAGTCAGAATTATTATAATTCAGATCATGCATCAGTACATTTCCATATTTTTATATCTATAAAAGGAAATCTGACACTTGTGAGACTTTATCAAAGCTGTGAGCGTCACAGCCGACGCCTCTGTGTCAAAGTAACTGAGGATAAAACATGAAGGTGATTTTCCTGGTCTGGGATTTATAAAAATATTCTGCAGCAGATCAAAAACAGAAAAAAACCATCAACACATGAACATTACCTGATGCTGCTGAAGTGAAGCAGAGCAAAGTTACAGAGGTTTGATTACAGACACAGCGTTTTGCAATTTTGCATAATTTTAAAAAGTTTAAATTTGTTCAGTGTTGAACGGCAGAAATGAGGCTTTGTTTTCAGAAGTAAGTAAAAGGAAAAAACAGCGGCCGACAGGCTGTAAGAACGGTAGACTGGTGCGTAACAAGCAAGCGAATAATGAAGAAAACAAACTTTTAAGAAACTGTTCAGTACAGAGAGACAGAGAGAGAGAGAGCTGTGCATGAAGTGAGATTTTATCCTGGTGGAAGCAAAACATCAAAGAGTGAATCCATGACGATGTTTATGTGAAGCGTAGTTTGGATCTTCTTTGGCTGCTGGTTCGGTCAATGTTGTTTGGAGAGAGATAAAACCTGCAGCTTCAGAATCAGCGCAAAAAGGGCGTGAACACAAAGCGCCGCCGAAACATCAGAATCAGCGAGCCGTCGGCTTTCAGCCCCGACCGTGTCCGTGCCGTCGGTGAGAAAGTCACATCTCACTGATCCTGATGCGTCGGCGGGTCCGAGCTTTGTGTTTACGTCTCTGTGCAGAATCCGTGTTCCTGCTCTCTTTTTTAGCTGTTTGGTGGTTGTTGAAATTTTGTGAGATTCTGACGTTTAGGCCAAAATAAATTTATATAAAAAAATCGATTCAGGATTTCAATGAATCGATATCACGTTATCCAAGCCAGGATCGATTTTAATCGATAAATCGATAATCAAAACCCAGCCCTAGTCTCCATATTTTTGAAGCTACTGGAGTTGGAGGGGTTTTGCTGTAATTTGGATGTATTACAAAAACACAGCTTGGATGAGCTGATGGCTGTTGTGCATCAAGAACTACACTGTCTGTGGTGTGATGCACCTCCTTCACTACAAAAACAAGAAAAAAGTCCCTCCTATGATTCCCCTAATATGATATCATTGACAGGTTTTTCAGTAGTTGTGGGTGTTTCCCACAGACACAGGCTTAAAACACACAGGTTCATATTACGAGCCCTGAACAACACCAGCGTTTATCTCAGGAAGAAAAATATGCCAACCACCAAACTCCAAGAACAGCTGCCTGTTGCCCAAAATCTCTGCATTAAGTAACTGAGAAAGATTTAAGGCACACGAGAAACAGTCATGGCAGTAATAAAAAGTTACAATCATTTGGTCACATATTGCATCGAATCATAAACCTTATTGTTCGTGCAATATTGTTTTTCTAAAGTGTACGTGTGAAGAGAGAGAAGCTGAGACAAACTGCAGCGTATTCAGGGCTGAAACAGTGAGAGCAGAGCTGTGGGTGGAGAGGTGACAGCTTTGCTTGGCCACTGTACAAGGCAAGCATGCTGAAAAGAGCTCCACTTCTCTTTACTGCACCGGCTCGTCAATGTTACAAGGAGCTTGGCAGGTAGGCTGCTCGGCCTCCTCGAGAAGCTCCAGGCTTTGTCTGCTGACTCCATTATGTTGAGACCAATCAGGCCCTGGCTTCATTTTTGCCCTCGTGACCTGGTGCTCTTTCGTCTCTTCACAGCACCGCGTCACTTTCGATGCAGCAGGCTCCTATGCAGTCGATGGTCTGAAGCCAGACACGCTGTACGTCTTCTCCCTGGCAGCCCGATCTGAGATGGGCTTAGGCGTCTTCACTCAGCCTATTGAATGCAGGACAGCTCAGTCCAGTAAGTATAACAGCACTCAGTCACGTTCACAGGTGTGGCTCCAGTTATGTAGTCCAGGTGAGAATGACTAAATGAGTCATCTGTGACTTAAAACTGACTAAATACACCAAAAACATGTGGAGGTAAGTGGAGCTTAATTCAGTGCAGTCCAACTAAGAGATCCAGCTCCCTGGGAGCCCGGCCGGCTTTCTCCTTTCTCTTATTCTGTTTACTGAGTGTGTCTGTGTCTGATTTGAACACCTGTAATATACCTGAGCTAAACCGACTGCATAAACAATGAATAACCGTGTGTCAGTTTAGAGCAATCCTCCTACTCAACGTGTGAAAGCCCCACGGTGTGTTTCATTCAGGCCTCTGTCAGCAGGAAACCGTCTCTGTCACACTTACTGTTTTTAGAAAGAAAGATTGAAAAGTTGCTTTTTATTCCCACAGCATGTTGGAGCTTAACTTTGCTTCACATACGCGATTTATTCGTTGTGTTTCTGTGATTTAAAACATTAAGACTGTGTTTTTTGCTCAACTATGCATTTACAGCATAAAAATGATAAATACTCATTTATATGAGAAGCTGGCGTTTTAGTGCCGTCTGGTGTTATTGTTCTCTAAAGAGATCAGCTTTTACCCAGATCTCCATGCCGATGGTTCCCACCTGAGTCGGGGAGCAGAACCTCCTGTTCTGAAGCCACCGCTGAACTATTCAAACACAATAGGACCAGCAGCAGACGGCAGCGTAGCTCACAGAACTGTGTAATTGCAAATGTCATTTTTCAAGCTGGCAAAATGTAATCAAAGCTGTAGCATTAATTATATGTTGAATTTTTCCACCTGCCAGTCACGCTTCAACTCAATTATAAAATTCAAAGGCAACAACCAAAGAAAATGTCGCCTCTTTGTGACACAATCCACACACGACATCGTTCGTAGGGGCATGCTTGGTATTTATAGATGTACATTCTGCTTTCTGCAGCGTAACAATCAGCGGGCGTTGCACATTTTGACAAATAGTCCAATAAGTCACTGAGTCGATACATGCAGCACATTATGATGTAAGGCCAAGCAAACACAAACAGACATTTGCAGAGACAGCTTTCATCACAACTGTCATCTTCCTTTCAAATGATTGTTTGTCATGTGAAATGTGGCCGAGCATGTGGCGATGTGCAGGACTTCGATCGCTGCTCCGTCACTAACACCATCGAACACCGTTAATTCACAACTACGATGTGTTATCTTAGCGTCAGAGCTCTGGCGTGCCGGCCGATGAGGAGCTGAAGCTGCAGTATTTATGACAGTTTCCCGAAGGAGTGCAAGCCCTCGCTCAGCTACTTGTTTTACCTGTCAGGACTGAAATCTTTCAGCTGTCACACTGCAAACAAATGTGTTGTAAACTATTCTCTTTGATTAGCAGTCTCTCTCATCGCTGCTCTGACTGCCAAACATAACGCGTCAGAGAACTTGCAAACAAGTCTGAGGACCCTGACCACTGCTGCCACCTCCCTGCAGCTTCTCATCCAGCTGCCACTCTCACTTCTGTTTACTTACAGCATATCAGGCACTTGTCAGATTTTATACATATTGTATTGAAACTGCAAGGTTACTACAGGAAAGAAAACACCATCTAATAACTGTCCTGTGCTTTTCCCAGCAGAGTCTCACAGCAGTCTGGGAAACAATCATTTATTCGTTTAGATGAATTTATGTTTCCACACGCAGATTGTTTGCAGACTTTTGTTTAAATGTACCATTTTTTTCTACAATAATTAACCTACCAAGCATCATGCATGTATTGAACTTCAGAAAAGTGTTTTCACCGGTGAGTTTGTTGAACTTTAAATGTGATATAATGTAAATGTAATTCAAATACAAAACAGGAATCTAAAGCTGAAATTCAAGCAACACCTCCTTCTACTCTGTTTGCTTTCAGTGTGACTGATCTGGTGGAGCCGCAGTTAGCTGTTAATAATTCTTCTTTTACCTCTTCTGTCATGCTCCTTTGGAAATAGCTTAATGTATGACAGGCAGGGAGGGTGGAGGGAAAAAGGGATGTTAATCATTACAAAAGTGAGAATGGATACATATGACTGGTTATACTTAAAACACAGCAGGATGAGACAATGAGACCCTGACACAGGAAGCCCTGAGAGGAGGGCAAGAAGGTAAAGCTGGTGAAAATGAACATAAAAGGGACATAAAAGGAGATTGTGTCAGGATCTGAATGACTCCAGGACGTTTTCATTACAGGCTAAATGGATTACATAGGTGTGCGTATGAATGTCATTGTTCCTGGCTTTATAGTGAAAGTCCATCTTTTACCACTTGCAGAGACTAAAACAGACGCAGTCTTAAATATTTTTACCCTGGCTTGAGATCACTTTTCAGTTTTAGATGTTCAAAAAAGAAAAGATTAAATCGATGCGATGTAATCTTTCAGACCTCACAATAGCATCTGTTTTTTTGTTTTCTTTTTTCTTACGGCTCTCTTTTTCTGCCCAAATCTTGATTCCGTTTCTCTCAAATCCTCCCACCTCTGCTTGAAGTTTGACTATTTTCCATATTCGTGTTTCTGTTTGGGACTTTAATCTCCCACACATGGATCTCTGCCTTTTGATTCATTGCACCCCTGCAGTGATACATCCAAAACTTCTCGTATGCATGAAGTTTCCTTTCAACCAGTGGCGAGCACCTTTCCTGCAGCAAGAGAACGAAGAGGCTTCCAGCGCTGTTCAAACAGGAACTGAGTGCATCCGCTCGGCTGGGGCCGCCACAGCACAGGCGAGCGTGATAACTGCCACCCGTGTTATCTCTTTCACCTGCTCCACATTCATCTCAGTCGCTGCTTTTGTTGTTGAGTGTTGTTGTATTCTGCTCTTGTGGGTCATTGTGCATACATGCATTCATCTGTAGTGTGCCTGTTTTATCTTTCAGTTGGTGAAACTTCACACTGTGTGTGTGTGTGTGCGTGTGTGCGTGCGCGTGTGTGTGTGTGTGTGTGTGTGCGTGTGCGTGTGCGTGTGCGTGCGTGTGCGTGTGCGTGTGTGTGTGTGTGTGTGTGTGTGCGTGCGTGTGCGTGTGCGTGTGTGTGTGTGTTGCAGTATGACATTTTTCTGCCCTCTGGACTGTGAAGGTTATTTGTACTTGTTATTTTGAGGACATCACATCGATTATTCACAGAAACATTTCCTGATAAATAACTTTTCATCTTAAAATCATCTTCATTTACATGTGATTGGTTATCTCTATGGTTTGTGGAAAATGCAGTGCAAGTATTACCCAAACTGCTTTATTTTTGTCTGAGTAACATTTATATTTAGTCATCTTGTTAAAGATGAATTCAGGACTGTTACTGTCATGTTTCAAAATATTTAGTGATTGTTTTGTTTCTGATCCAGGAAGGGGGGCAATTTTGCAACTAATGCAAGAAGTAAATGGTAAATGGCCTGTATTTATATAGCGCTTTACTAGTCCCTAAGGACCCCAAAGCGCTTTACATATCCAGTCATCCACCCATTCACACACACATTCACACACTGGTGATGGCAGCTACATTGTAACCACAGCCACCCTGGGGCGCACTGACAGAGGCGAGGCTGCCGGACACTGGCGCCACCGGGCCCTCTGACCACCACCAGTAGGCAACGGGTGAAGTGTCTTGCCCAAGGACACAACGACCGAGACTGACCGAGCCGGGGCTCGAACCGGCAACCTTCCGATTACAAGGCGAACTCCTAACTCTTGAGCCACGATCGCCCCAGTGATATAATTAAACATGTAAGACAAAACTGAGTTTTCTCAGCTTTTGTTACCAAGCTTAAATAGGAAGCTGTACCAAGGTACGACCCAGTGTTGTCTACACATACAGGCAAAAGTACAACTTAGATAAGAGATAAGATAAGATAAAACTTTATTAATCCCTCGGGTGGGTTCCTCTGGGAAATTCGGTTTCCAAAAGCACAGCACCGACAGAAGTTACAGAGTTACAGAATATTATATATACACACACACATATAAATACAGAGACCTATATAAATAAAATATACGAAGGGGATAAATAGGAATAAAAATAAAAATACAAGTGAATTGCACATTTCAAGTATTGAGGTCTATTGCACTATTTACAAAAAGTATTGCACAAAAGGTGTTGCACAGTGAGGTGAAGAGGCACTGCAGCTTTGCAAAGAACCAAGTTTAAAATGTATCTTTATTGTATCTTTATTTGAAAATAGAAAAAAATCACATAGTTTGACAGGCATGAAATAGTATTTTTGCACCAATAAGGTGATTCCCAAGAGCTATTAGCCCAAAGCTTATCCTTATCTCAGCGTGGCGTATCCTTCGAAACTTGAACTTGTGGCTGATCTCATGGAGTGATGAATCCAAATTTGAAATAAATTTTATCAACATTTACAACGAAGATCAGGAGAGAAATATGACGAGGAGTGTTTACAGCCAACTGTAAAGCAGGGAGGAGGCTCTGTCATAAGAGATGAGATAAAATGAGACTTCATTGATCACATTTGTACGTTACCTCCACTCAGGCACAGAAAGCAGAAGAAAAATACCAAAAATTGCCCATTTTCCTGACAAAATCTAAAGAAATGACACGTGGCTGAAGATTTTTCTGTCAGAGTGGAACTACTGCAGGTAACATCTGAGTGTAATTCACATGCTGACATGCCCCTCGAGTGCTTAGGGGTAGTGCTAGATCACAGATAACACACTCAAACTTTCACTCACCAAACTGGGACACAGAATTCTTGGACAGTCTGCACTGTTAAAAACAAAGTTATAACATTTGTGCGATTTCTGCTTTAAAATGCTGGAAAGAGGCACCGACACTACAAACATGCTTGAGGGGTCCAGGTGACGCATAGCAGACAGCAAGCAGAGCCTGTGGCAGCACACCTATCAACCAAAGCTTTCTGAACATGCGAGTCCCAAACACGTAGTTTTTGGAGGGGCGGGGCCTTCTTTGCACTTTGTGGTTTGATTTGTCAGCCATACTGGCTTCATGGTTTCGTTATTCCCCTCCAGACAAATGTAATTTAAAATAATCACATATTTCTGTGTGTTTGCAATGATGTACACTGAACATACAGCAGGAGACACTGTTTCCACAAACCATAATGACAAAAACATTGATAGGATAATGTGGCATTAATCTGCCAGTTTAATAATTACTCTGTAACACAGTCCAGAGAGACAGTTGCTTCATCATCCATCATCCACCCTACCTGACCATTACCCTCCCTCCTCCCCTTCCTTCAGCCCCATCAGCCCCACCCCAGGAAGTACATTTGCTCAGCCTCAGTTCCACCAGCGTCGAGGTGAGGTGGGTGGCCCCGCCCACAGACAGCCAGCACGGTGAGATTGTTGGCTACTCCCTGGCCTACCAAGCACTCACGGGAGAGGACCAGAAACGCCACCAGGTGTCAGGGATTGGTCCTGATATCACCAGCTACATTTTGGAGGACCTGGAGAAGTGGACGGAGTATTTGGTGTGGGTGAGGGCTCACACAGATGTTGGGCCAGGTCCAGAGAGCTCTGCAGCTAAAGTCAGAACCAAGGAAGATGGTATGTTGATGGTTTCATGGGAAACATTCAAACTAACTGTCCAATTCTTTTGTATTCATTTCCTGCTGCTGCAGTTTAGTCTTACAAACACTCACCAAAGTGTGCATAAGCGCAGTGTAAAAGCATGGCTCAAATACAGAATACAGCACCCGGTCTTCAGACGCTTGGAGGGTTTGGAGTAAACTGGTTAATTTGTAAATGAATAAAAATCAGTCTGCAAAACATCAGATTGATGGACTGGATTAAGAGTCCGGTGTAGGATTTGTAATCTTGTTGATTCCACTAATACGCACGGCTACCCTGCACAGTGCCAACAGTTGGTGCCAAGTCATGAAGCTGTGCAGTCTGTGGTGGTGCATCATGTAGTCTTCATATACGGCACTTAAGCTCTGGTTTTGACATAAATCCAAAAGTAGTTTTATGGTTCTTTAGACATCACCTCAGGAACAGGAGATCAAACATTTCAGCCAACTTAGTCCAAGCCTATTTAAACATGGAGTTTCCACTGTCTCAGGTTTCAGTGTGTAATGTTAGATTAGTTATATGTTCACTCAAGAAAAAAACAATCTTTAAGCCTGAGTCCCTGTTTGCTAAAAAAGTTGTCCAACCTGTAGGCACAGATTGGAAACCCCATGAAAAACCTGCGTGTAGAACACAGTTTCTACAGCGACAGGACAGATATACACACAGCTCTTTATTGAACCTGGAGTAACTCAGTGTTTAATCTGTTAGGTCAAAGACTTTTGATTTACACCTGAAAACAAACCTTGTGCTCTTTGTGGGAGAATTTTAAAAATAAATTTAGCTTCCTTATCTGTACTGCTAGTGCAAGTAAGCTCTAATAAATGCAGCAGACAAGAAATGCAACAGAAATCGCAACCGTGCAGTCGTGTTTATATCAGGTGGTTTCTGCAGCAAATGTCAACAGTCTTTGTAAAACACCATCACTTGTGTTTTTATAACAGATATGGCGGCGACCCTTTTTTTTTTTCAGTACAATTTCTTATATCATGAATAAAACGCATGATTATTTTCAGGTTTTTGGGAGAATGCCGAGCTCAGTCAGCAGTCTGTACAGAGCAGTATACAGACCTGCAGTAGGTACATACATGCACAGAAAATAAAGCTAAGGTACAGAGGAGTGGGCCTTTTTGCTTATGGTCTGCAGATGAGATGATACCAGACCCAGAAAAGTTTTAGGAATTAAAATATCACAGTAGTTATGTCTGCATGACACAGTATGTCATACCTGAGTATTCAGCACGCATTCTGAGCAAGGGGGGTCAAGGTTAGTCATGACTCTCACTGCACCATGATAGACGTAATCATCAAGACAGAAGCTTTTCCTTATTTCACTACATTTTGTGAGACTTTAGCTGCCACTAAGCTCCTGCCTGTCATGCTCTGCCAGGCTGCGTGTCCCTTTTCCCAGCGTGATGACATGGTGTGCTGCACTGCTAGGCCAAGGTGTCTGGAGAGTTGCCTGAGTGGCAACATAGCATGCTCTTTCCCTGTTGTTAGTCACATGGCAGGACTGAAGCACAAGCTAAATAGACACTATGATTCAGTCCGGAGGGATACTCTGCTATTCAGCAGCATCCGTTTGCTATTACCTTCACTGCTGAAGATGAGTCCAAATGCAGCACAGCCCAGTGCTCACATCTCTAAGACACACGGCATTACAACAAATCCTTACAAGAGGATTCTCTTCTTTTTTGTGCAGGCACAATTGGCCGTATCATGACCAATGAGAGCAAAGAGTAATGGACTCTTTTCTGGAACCACTCAAGGAAATCAAAGCATCAAAGTTTAAGTCCTGTGCAATATCACCGAGGCTCAGCAAGTATAGCAGCACGGTGGCCTCTCCTCTGTTAACGCTTGCAGTTCTGAGCCAGCTCAGGTCTTGTACTGCCTAAGAATGACCTCCAGCTCTGCCTTTACCACTATTAGATTTCGTTTATATATATATATATATATATATATATATATATATATATATATATATATATATACACATACTAGGGGTGCAACGATACACAAAATCCACAGTTCGGTTCGATACTTTGGTGTCACGGTTTGATATTTTTTCGATACAAAAAAAAATGTTCATGCTGTTTTAATTTGTCATTTATTAAAATTATAAATATATATTTTAACTCAAAAGTACAGTTTTTAAATTGAATGTTGCTGAAAAAACAAAGGGATAAAAAAATTAATCTGATCGACAAATCGCTCATCTTTGGAAAAGAGAGTTTATTACAGAGAAATGTCTCTTTCCAAAATAAAAGCTATGCTATACGCTTCTTCTGGGCTATATTCTCAGCAGCATATTAAACATATCAGGTCCCCATAAGGAGAATCCTGTGCTAACGGCTGTCTAAATGACTCGTGTAAAGTTTGTAGCATGCGTGCTTGTTGTTTTTGTCTTTGCACTAGGATGATGTCGGAGTAAATGTGCAGTCATATTCGTTGTGTTCCCACTAGTGCTGTCAGCCTTAATCTGAAATAACCTTGACGCCACAACACGGCAAATCTCCGCTAACGAGCTATTGTTCGATACATATGCGTACCGAACCCAAAGCTCTGTATCGAACGGTTCAATATCAATACGAGTGTCGTTGCACCCCTAATACATACATATATATATGTATATGTGTATATGTATGTATGTATGAAAATAAAATTTATGCCACTGAAATATTTAGAGCGTTCCTAAAAGGACATAAAAGCTCTGCAGTTAATCGGTTTTACTCAAACCTGACGATGATTCTAAAACTAACCCCTCTTCTTTCAAACCTGCCCAACAGTTTTCAGTTACCTGATTTAACAGAATATTTTAGTACTTGCCAAAAGCCAACAGTGACCTTATGACCAGTGTTTTTGTTTGTTTGTTTTCCTGGATGGCATTTCTTTATGGGTGAAACCTCAAAGAGACAAATCTAAATAGTGTTAGAAGCACAGTTTCCTTCCTCACACCACTAACCCTCTCCATCTGCTGCCCTTCTCTCTCTCCTGGCGTCTCTCATCACTCTTTATTTCTGAACACCCACTGAATTTGAATCTCACACTCTTTTCATCTCTTTCCATCTCTCTGCACCCCATTTGACTTTGAGCTCTCATTGCATTTCTCCAGCATCTGTCCATTCTCCACACAGTGTACGCTTTCTCCCACGAATCCTCCTTCCAGCTCTTATCCGTGTCAGCCCGAGTAACAAAAAACATTCTCGTTTAGCTCCCTGACATAGTCGCAGCGTACGCTGAACTTTCCTGGCTTACTGTAATTTCCTTTAATAATCTGCAATAAAGGAAACACTCAAATTTAAAGAGAATAACAATTTTTCTTCTTAGATATTATAATTATTCTGATATGAGCACAGAGGAGCCGTAGCAGAGTTTTGTCAGACAGGCATTGGATCTCTTTTACAGATTTCATTAGGCTGTGATTGGGACTTTGCTCACTGGGACACGTCAAAGTTATACTCGGCTTCCCTGATGCCCCGAGACAAAGGACCTGTTCTGTGAGCTTATTCTCCTGCTTGTGTTGGTTTTAATAGGACACAAATCAGAAATAAATGTAGCCAGCCATTGCTCAGTCTAAAGGCAAAGACTGCAGTTGTGTCGACCCATGGTGTCATTAATGTGACGCAGTTATAGTAAAAGTGTGATAGGACTCCAACAAAACCCACCGTACATCAGAACTGCTCAAAACAGACCTTTGGATTCAGAGATTGTGTATAAATGTTGCATGAATTTAAGAGTCTGTATTCATTTATTGATGGAAGTTTATTTTGGGATCTCTCCTAAACAGAAATCTATTTTGTTTTTGAGTAATCTTAATTTTTTTTAAAAAGTGTTTATTTTGTTTTGTTTTTTAATCACAGTCCTGTTGATTTGCTTTGGTTGAAGGCCCAAAGCTCTTTGGTTTGTACGAAGCTTAGGGAACACAGAACAAATCATCCAGTGAAAGCAAAGGCAAAGCTAGACAGTAACCACAGACACCTGCATGTGGTCTGTCCCTCTGCTCTGCCTCTAATGTGTCCGATAGTTTAAGAGCACGACTGATACCTGGTGCACATTTCTGGTGCCAACAGGATCTCACAGCTGCGACTGATGCCTTGGGATGAAAATGTGCTGATTTGACATTTTAAAGCAAACTAACAGCCATTATCATTTTCCTCTTTCTCCTGCAGGAAATGCAACATAACTGTCCCAGCTTTTGCTTTCATGTCCACTGTTCTCTGCTGGTCCTGAAAAGCATTTCTGTTCTGCTCTGCACTGCTTAAACTCTGCTTAGTTTATCTTTAGGTACTTTAGAGGTTGTTGGTCTTTCGTGTAGCTGTTTCCCATCACTTCACCTATTTTATTACAGTGGGACACTGTAATACTGCAGAGAACTTTAAAGATAAGTCAGGATATCACAGCCTTGATTAGCCAGTGTGGAGCACTTCAAATTAAATTTCATGTTGAGGTGAGAGGGCAACGTTTCAAGGAGTCGATCTGGCTGCTTGTTTTTCCTCCATGCTGAGAAATTCACTATGCACAACAAATCAAATGTTTTGTTCTATGATTGCTACTTGCTCACCTTGTTATACTCCATGATTATCCATCAAAAACTCCATGAGACAAAACAGCATTTATGTGAACGAGAACTTTAAAAGTTTTGATGATTATTTTTAAAATTGCAGAAATAAGAACAGTTTGTATGTTTGTGACCCAACTAAACAAAAGTAAACTTTCCAACAATATCTGTTTGAAGAATAAAGTTTTAATTCAGTGTTCAGCTCTTATGCTGAGAGAAGATTACTTTGTCACATACGGGAAAGAGAAAGCAGTGACGCTGGATCTCCTTCTTAACAACGTTTAATATTTACACGCTCAGCTAGCTTCTAAAGATGTGAGTAAATGCTAATAAATCCAAACTGCATACAGAGGTCGTTCAGGTTGTGGATTTGTTTAATCTGATGTGTGCAGAAGGAAGTGAGCACACAGAGTGGACCCAGTGAGAGCGATACAGAGGAGACAATTAGTGGCTGCAGTAGCTTTGACAGCCGCTGCAGAGAACCCCCAGCAGCCACAGACACAAGATCCGGCTTCACGCTGTCAGTCAGGATGGTCCTACAAGTTTAAAACCAGCATGAAGTGTGTGAGTCTCACAGTCTGCAGTAAGCATCTACATGTTATAGTGGGAATTAAAGATAAGTAAACCCGTGTCCACACTCACGGCACATTTAGCTTTAGTGAAATCATAAAAACTCCAGCAGACAAAGAGGCCTTTGTAAAGTGTAAGCCAGGCAAGCAGGAGGACGTATACAGACAGGACGTGGAGCGATAAAATCAATCTGAAGAACGGCATGTCCTGATTTATTGTCGGAAAATCTTCTCCAGGCCACCGAAACCCAACGTTCATCCTCTCCAGGTTGGTTTTTCACTTCTGTTGGCTTGTTGACGTTGATTCGACACTAACGGCTTTTTGCCTTCTTACAACCACTTTTTTCATTAGCCACTCTTTTTCTGCCAAAAAGCAGATGCAAGAAAACTTGGTAAATGGACTGGTTCTTATAGAGCGCTTTTCTACTCTTCTGAGCACTCAAAGCGCTTTACACAACTTGTGCATTCACCCATTCACACAAGCACATTGTTCTAGGTGCTTTTCTAAGTAACATTCACACACATTCACACTCCGATGGATGCATCGGAGAGCAATTTGGGGTTAATACCTTGCCCAAGGATATTTGGCATGCAGACTAGGGGAAGCCAGGAATCGAACCACCAAACCTCCGATCAGTAGATGACCTGCTGTACCGCCTGAGCTACAGCCAAGCAGAGTACATGCAAGTAGGGAAGATGTGCAGCAAATGTCACATAGGATTGAAACCTGTGCCACTAGATCTCACAGCAGCTGCTCTTCCCATTGAGCCAAACCAGCTCTGGTTGGTTCAGTAGAATAGCTGAATAATTAAAATACTTTGTCTTTATTGGGCTGTTGCATGGCAGCTATCAAAGTAAATGTGGTTACCACAGAATGAATATGAAACACCTGCTCTTACGTTTTCAGGCCTCAGCTAAATAATGAGCAAATAGAAAAGCCCATTCCTGAAAAAGAAAAGAAATCTCTTCAGTTTGTGTTATTTCTGTTTGCTCAGATTAGCATCAGATTAGCATCAGGCATGCATTAGAAAACAAATGAACTGTAGCAGCTGCATGCACTTCCTCCCATGACCACAGGAGGTTGTTTCCACAAACAGTGACGTTTTAGTCAGAAATCGACCACCGTTATTGCTTTTCAGCTGAGGTTGGCTTTATTTTAATCCGTGGCAGCAGATGGACTTCAAAGCTGTGTTTAGTCTGCTTTAGGATCCCGTTGTCTGTTACATGCTCATTTTGTTCTTCTTCTTCACTGGCTTTTGCTTTTTAACACTGTGGTTTATTGACGTTTCTCCTCCAAAGCGTGAAGCTTGACTCTGGAAGGTCTCTGATTTTATAAAAGGTTAAACGATTCTAATTAGTCGAAAGTGCAAAGTGCTGACACCGAGTTGCAGAGCTTTCCTCTGCCTGCTGTGCCGGGTTGATACTTTAATACTTCTGCTTGCTGCTTTAACACTTTTCTCTCCCTGTTTTTCAGTATTTTCCTTTTCTGTTCTCTCTGTGTGAATTCCATTAATATTAGCAGAGCCTCATCTCCTCATTTTTATTGAAGTTAAATTTGTATTCATTTACACCTTCCTGTGAAGCTGACCAAGCATTCCAGAGGAATCTTTTTAAGCCTATTTTGATATGCAGCAAAGTAGAAAGTGTGTGTGCTCTAAACCCAGCTCCCAGCATCCTCTTGGGGCTCCATGTGACAAGCTTTGATGTGGATAACCTGCAAAGATAGCCAGTGACCTTCACGTATCCTTGCAGCCTCTCCAGGCTGGTAGCTACCTCGTCAGGTCAAACTTTGAAGTGGTCCAACTGATGAAGAGAAATGACCGTGGATAGGCCTTACCACACGTCTTCGTCTACATCTGCTGCTGGACATGTGGGCACCATTTAAAATAAACGTAACCCCATGCAACAGTTATTGCAATTTTATTTAAATGAGGCAGGCTCGTTGAGATTAAACTCTTTCACAGAGATGGGAACATGAAGCATTTGCCAGAACAAAGCAGACGGGAAAAAACGGCACAATAAAGACATGTTCTCCTGTCCCTCAGCATTACAGTCGAGTGGTTTGATGCACCAGTTTCTACAGTGTTGGCTGTTGGCTCAGGAGTGGCAGCAGCAGAAGGCGGTCTGAAGATTAAGCGCATTGGTTTGGGTTTAGACCTCATTCACAATCACCTGACGACCTCTGGCTGCTAGTGGAAAATGTGTGTTGCTGCTGTTGCAAAGCTAAATGTGGCTGCTGCACTGAAAACCTTCTTGTGGTTTCTCTGGTTGCATGTAGGTTTGTGCAGTATTGGACAAAGGAAGTGGAGAATGTCAAAGTAAAAGTTGTGATTTTGAGGGGAAACAGTCTCTGAGCCTGTGTGACGTGAGAGTGAAACACTAAAAGCTTACAAAAACACTAGAAAATAGTCTGTTGGGGTTTTCACTCTAAAAACGAATTGGTTCGTTTTATGAAAATATGGTGGTGTGTGTTAAAATGCGCCCAAACACAGCAGTGAAACCTCCAAAAACGATGTTGGGAGTGACAGCATCACACCCCTCCCCCAAAGCCTCACCAAATCACCAGTGCATTTGCCAAAAATGACTCGCATGAATCACACATAAACAATTCTAACAAAAAGGAAAATAAAAGGAAACAAATTTCTCACTTATTCTTCTTCCCATCATGAAGCAGTGCCAACAAGTGAATCACAAGAAGGCACAAAGAAACAGCAACAAGCTTTTCAGTGAATAATATTCACACTGACAGCGTACCACAGTGAGCAGTGTGAGAAAAAACAGGCACTGTGACACTTATCAGGTGTATCTGAACACACAACAAGTCTGTTTGTACTTGTTGAAGGTGAAATCATGCTTAGCAAATCTTTCAGCCGCCAAAACGTTACTGTGGAAATAGTAAAGGGTACAAAGTAAGGCAGAGATACTCAGCTTCTGAGGAACAGATGCTAATACAGTCTCATGAAGACGTGGTTTAATAGTAGCCTACCTATTGAGACGCACAAAATCAAACATTCCACTTTCTAAATGTAATTTGTGTTCTCTCATTTGTTTTCAGTGCCTGGAGCTCCTCCCAGGAAGGTGGAGGTAGAGGCCCTGAACTCTACTGCCCTCAGGGTGAGCTGGAAGCCCCCGCTGTCCGTGAAGCAGCATGGGCAGATCAGAGGATACCAGCTGGTTTACTCCAGGCTAGAGAACGGGGAGCCCCACGGCCAGCCGGTCATCCTGGATGTTAACCTCCCTGAAGCCCAG